GGGTAATAATCTTAGAAGTTAAAATAATACACCAAATCAGAGACGAATAGAGCTGGGTAGTGAATCAAATTCATCAGAGTCAAGAGAATAATTCTCCAAAGACCTGTTTTCTGTGGCTTGTAACAGTTTATCAACAACGGATACTTCAAATACAGTTTCCAATAGTTGGGGATTTTCTTGCACTCATGTAACACAAAATAACTAGATATTTGTGTGGATGATGAGGTGACAGAAGTACCTCCTAGGTGAGGACAGGGGGATAAGTCTCCATTTTGTCAGGGTCTAATTCCTCACAGAAGTTTGGCTCACAGTAGTTTTACATCCTCTGGAACAAAATCAGCAATAGAAGGACACTCCTGCTGCTATTTCTGCAGTCAAAAGTAAACTCTCCTGTTTCTGGAGATGTTTGCTCTTACATGCTTATGCATAAAATTTCCCTACCCGTGCACACAGTGTCTGCTTCTCCATTATCCTGCATGATAATGCTTATCACACAGAATACTAGATGAATACTAGATGAATACTAGATGAATCAAGATACTTCCTAAAAAAAAAAAAAAAGAAAGTGGCAATGAAAGATGAAGCACCGTGGGCAATATGTTATCATGGATTGCAGAACACTATTTTAAAATAGGAACATTATTTATTAAACTAATACTGTAATTATAATGTAGTTTTTGTAGAGCAATTACTATTTTTATTAAGTGATTCATCATAGGCCTTGCAGTTGAAAGCAACACAAGTAATCTAGAGATGACTGGTCCTGCATAGACAAAACTGTAACTCAGCAGTAGAGACAGATCATCCAGTCTGAAATCACCTGCTGACTACAGTTTTCCATGTAGCCCTATCCACAGGATATCCACGATGTTCGTCACACCCGCGTGATGCCTAGTGCCGAATGCCAAACAGATGATCGCCTTGTGCGCTGTAAACTTAACCTCCACCTTAAGTTCAAACCTAAAAAGGGCAGCATTCCTAGAAGGAGACTTCAAGTTAACAGTCTTCAAACAGCTACAGTAAGGGACAGTTTCCAGGCAAATCTCCAATCCAGGCTCGAAGTTCATTCCACAGATCCCTCTCCCAAAGCACTTTGGCAACTTATTAAAAATAGCGTTCTGCAGTCCTCTGAAGAATCCTTAGGGTTCTCCTTTAAGAAAAACAAGGACTGGTTTGATGAAAACAATCATGAGATCCAGGAATTGTTGAGTAAGAAGAGAACTGCTCACCAAGCCCATATTGCTCAGCCATCTTGTCATATAAGAAAAGCAACCTTTCGACTCGCATGCAGCAAGCTACAACAGAAACTTCGTGACATACAGAACAAGTGGTGGACCAATCTTGGGGAAAAAAACCAATTATGCGCAGATACAGGGGATTACAGGGGATTCTATGAGGCTCTGAAAACAGCCTACGGTCCTACACACCAGGTTCAAAGCCCTCTACTCAGTGCAGATGGCCAAACGCTTCTCACAGATAAAGTTTCCATTTTGAATCGATGGTCTGAACACTTCCAGACTCTCTTCAGTACTAGTTGTGTAGTTCAGGACTCAGCAATACAGTACATTTCACAACAACCAGTGAAAACAGAACTGGAGACTGCCCCCACCATGGGAGAAACTCTTAAAGCAATACAGCAGGTGAAAATTGGCAAGGCAGCTGGGGTTGATGGAATCCCACCTGGAATCTGGAAGCACTCCATGTTAAGTTTCACGAATTTGTGGTGCGCTGCTGGGAACGAGGTGAACTGCCTTCAAACCTTCGTGACGCTGTCATCGTCACCTTTTACAAGAGGAAAGGAGATAAATCAGACTGCTCAAATCACCGAGGTATTACTCTGCTCTCCATTGCTGGTAAAATCCTTGCAAGAATTCTTTTGAACAGACTAATACCCACCATAGCAGAAGATCTTCTACCTGAAAGCCAATGTGGTTTTCGAGCCAACAGAGGTGCCACAGATACGGTATTTGTTCTCAGACAACTGCAAGAGAAGTGTCGGGAACAGAACAAAGGACTCTATGTTACCTTTGTTGATCTCACCAAGGCTTTCGACACTGTGAGCAGAAAAGGTCTGTGGCAGATTTTGGAACGTTTAGGATTTCCTCTCAAGTTCCTCAAAATGATCATCTCACTTCATGAGGACCAGCGCGGTCAAGTCAGATATGGGGACGCACTTTCTGAGCCGTTTCCAATAGCCAGTGGTGTGAAGCAAGGCTGCGTTCTCGCACCAACCTTATTCACGATCTTCTTCAGCATGATGCTCCAAAGGGCCACGGCAGACCTCGATGATGAAAACGGTGTCTACATTCGATATCGTACTGATGGGAGCCTATTCAACCTAAGGCGACTGAAGGCCCACACTAAGAACTTAAACCATCTTGTCCGTGAGCTGCTTTATGCTGATGATGCTGCCCTCGTCACCCACACAGAAGTAGCTCTGCAGCGTTTAACATCCTGCTTTGCAGAGGCTGCTGAGCTTTTTGGTCTGGAAGTCAGCTTGAAGAAGAGGAGATACAAGGACTGCCTGAAACAATCCCTCAGCCTTGGCCATATTGATCACCACCATTGGTCTACCCTGGCCTCCAATCGGGAGGCCTGGAGACACACCATCTATAACACTGCTGCTGCTTTTGAGAACACACGCAGGATCACTCTCGAGGAGAAAAGACAACGCAGAAAGAATGGTGTCTCGTCGATATCACCTGGGGAGTCTTTCTGCTGTATGTTCTGCAACCGGACTTGTCTATCTCACATTGGCCTTTTTAACCATCAGCGCGCTTGTAGCAAGCGTGGGTAGAGCCCTTCTCAAATCTTCGTTCGCGAAGCCTAGCCATGATGATCCACAGGAAATGACAGGCAGCCCCTGGGAGCTGCACCTCTAGGGAGAAGTGCTTAGGATGCCCCTGAATGCCATGGCTCCCCACCATAATATGAGAACTCATTTGAGGTAGCCACCTGTACCTTGTAGTGTGTGGCCCCAGGTGTGCACCAGAAGCAGGTGGCTGAGGGAAGGACCTTGCTTTCCAAACTTAACATCTGTAGAAATAATACTGTGCTTCCCAAAAGCTTGAATATTGCCTTGTACATTCATCATAGGATCACAGAATGTGCTGAGTCAGAAGGGATCCATCAGGATCAGAGTCCAGCTCCTGGCCCTATACAGGACACCCTAAGAGTCACAGCATGGGCCTGAGAGCATCATCCAAAGGCTTCCTGAACTCAGACAGGCTTGGTGTTGTGACCACTTCCCTGGGGAGCCTGTTCCAGTGCCCAACCACCCTCTGGGTGAAACACTTTTTCCTGATATCAAGTCCTAACCCCCCCGACTCAGCTTCATGCTGTTTTCTTGAGCCCTGTCACTGGTCATGAGGGTGAAGAGATACCTGTCCTCTGCTTCCCCTCATGAGGATGCTGAAGACAGCAATAAGGTCTCCTCTCAGCCTTATCCTTATATTATCTGGAATACATTGAGAACTGTGAGAAGAGTTGGTAATAAACTGCTAAAAAAACCTATTCATTACAACTCAGTAATTTGTTTTCATACAGCCAGGAACACAGATCCAAGGCACAATAAAGTCAGATAAGGCAGCATATATTATGCCACCTTGCACACTATAATCTGTTACAGATGAAAGTATTTTATGTAGGTCAGGCACTGCTTCCTTGGAGACAGACAAAAAGCCGTAAGGAAATCAGAGCAGTGTCAGGCCTTATTCCAGTGATCCAGTCTACTCCAAAGTTTCAATTATTCAGACATTTGTGTCTCTCTGGTCTTGTCTATCAACATACTCTTCCCAATCAGCTCCTGCAAGGCTAAGAACAGCAGACCAGAGAGCATCATCTCATGATGCAAACCAAGAGGAAACTCCTTTCACTCAAGAGGAGGCAATAGCTTTGCCAGATGAAAAAAGAACAGAAAAATCATCGCAACACTGAGCTGCAAAACAAGGTTTTGGGAACAGAAGGCAGCTCTCTAGCCCTCACAGTGAGAAGAATGGTGTTGTTAAAAGAAGCAGTCTTCCATTTCACTCTGTCTTTCCTTAAAAAAGTGCTCCAATGTAACTGAAAGGGGATCTGTGCTTCACTCTTGCTGAAATAACACTTTATCCCTGACAGGCAGAAGAAAAAGAATCTCAAGGAACCAGAAGTAAGAACGAGCATTTTTTGTTATATCTTGCAGTCTCAGCAGAGAATTCTATATTCTTAAAATAAGTTCCTTATTTTGCTATTGTACAACAGCATGCTTTTATTCTGGCAACTCAAAGGTCCAAAATACAATGTTAGCTTCCACCAAGGTTTCATAGCAGGGTTCAGAATTTAGTTTTATAACACACACTGCACCATTTTTCATTACCACCTATGTATCTATGAATTTCTCTTGTATAAAAAACCTGAGAGATTCTCAAACAGAACAGCACTGTATTTTCAGAATGGTATTTAGCTGTGAAGAGATAAAGAGAAAACACACAAATCACACAGATTAGTGCATAGAGTAAATACGTGAAGAGCATACAGTGGAAAAAGAAAATATGTGCATTTATGCGCTTTATGAATATCTTAATTCCCTTTCCTCTGGAAGGCAGCATAAATGCCTCTGTATTCCACTTTGCTCCACAGGGATTTTCCTAATTTAAATAAACCGAGTAATCTAGAAAGGTTTTTCTCATCACGCCTGTGAGAAACCATCCTCCTTACGGAGTGTGGGATCACAGGTAAGCAGGGGGTTTCAGGTATCATCTCCGCAGAATTCTAGCCTTGTTACGCGAATGAAAGAATAATCCTAAAATTCTGCATTTTTACCCTCGTCCCTGATTAAGTTTTTTAAAAAGATATGAAGCTTTTTCTTTTCCTCTCTCTCCTTCCTCCTCAAAAACTAAATTCATCTGTTTGCAGATCAGTGGATCTCCTTTGCATACATTTTTTACTGTTTCCCCCCTGTAATAAAAAACAAGCTGTATTTTAAATGTAAGACACCAGTGTTGGCTAACTATGTGCCTTACCCTGATTCCAAGCTCTACATTCTCTCCTCCATATACTTCCATGCCTTCATCCAGTAATCCAATCTCTTGGAAGTATTCTCTGTCTACGATGAAGCACCCAATCAATGCAGGACTTCTGGAAGAACAAGCCAGCAGCAACCAAAATTAGCAGATAGATTATGAACAATTTTATTATTCACACATAGATGATATTTATAATTGCTGAGTAAAATGGTGAATAAAAACAGATTCTTAGGGAGGTATTTCTCAAACAGATTTGTTTAGCCTTGCCTCTGAATATTCTTAATTCTAAAGTGAAGTAAGTGCCATTGAAGGAGAATAGATTAAAAATTATTGCACATACATATTCACCAGAACAGACAGGATTTCAGAGCTAACAATACTAAATCCAGGAATCCCAGCTTTGTTTCTGAGACACCAGCCATTCTAGTCTCTGTCCCTGCTAAGTCCTCAAGTTCCTTGTCTGTGATAATTTCAAAGGATACCTACTGATGAGCAGTTTTGTGTGTTTAGTTAGAAGTCAGTTTCATCTAGAGCTAAGAAAACTTGTGTCTGTAAGCTTATGAAAAAAAAAAAAAAGATATTATTTCTTGAATAGGACCATCCAGATAAGGTTTTCTAATACTGAATCAAGAAATGTCTGCCCTTACCAGCATACTGTAACATTAGCTCATTGTCTTGGGCCAAATTTAAACACATCACATATCTTTACTGAATCAGTAAGCTCTACTTATGTCATAATTTGAACCAACCAGTTTTTACTACACTGAGCCAGTCTTAATAAGAGTTCAGGCACAGAGACTACAACTTCACCTTTATGAGATGCCCTGGAGAAGAACACAAAGTCATTGAGCCTTTTCATTTTTCTCCTATCTTCTAATATACAGGAGCAAGAAATAAAAATGTCTTTTCTGATTATTATGCTGGTATCATGCACTCTGGTAACACCAAGATATTAATTAACAGGACAGGGGAAATCATCCTGCTTTTATTGGGAACACTCAAGCTACAGTAAATGTAGACATCTGCTTTCAAACAGATTATAGGATGTCTTCCTTAATCACAAATTGTAATATCCTACAGAAATCTATATATTTATGATTTTAAGGGCCATAATAACCACTTTATAACAATGAAAGACTGTCTCAGATGCATTTATTAATGAAGAAAAAAGTAGTTAGCATCACTTCAAAAGTTATTTTTCTTATATGACAAGATACTCTTGCTTTTGGTGCTCTTTTAAAGTATTTCTCAGAGTACTTGCTTCCCTTTGTTATAATTCTCAAAGCATATTGGAGGCATGATAGTAGCCATCAATCAATACACATGGCTGTGTTTGTTGGTTTGTTTTAATTATCCAACACACAAATGCAGCATATTCCACTGAATAAAAGGTGCCAGGGAAAGGGCTAGGGAAAAAACCTAAACCTCCAATATTTATAAAGAAAATTAACTCCCCAATCCTCACAAAAAAACAGAGTTTGGGGATAAAATGAAAAAGGACATTTCCTCTTTATTCTGTGTTTAAATACTTTAAATACTTTTAATTTTTAAAGTCACAATAATAAAAAGATCTATATAATTAATCATAGAATCACAGAATCATAGAATGTCTTGGAAGGGGTCATAAAGTTCATCTAGTTCTAACACCCTGACATGGACAGGGACACCTTCAACTAGATCAGCTTGCTCAGAGCCCCATTCAATCTGGCCTTGAACACTTCCAGGGATGGAGCAGCCACAGCTTCTCTGGGCAAACTGTTCTAATGTCTCACCACCCTCACAGTTAAGAAAAGCTTCCTAATATCTGATCTTCCCTCTTTCTGTTTAAAGCCATTCCCCCTGTTTCTATCACTACCTGCTTTTGTCAAAAGTCTCTTATCAGCTCTCTTGAAGCCATCTTTTAGGTACTGGAAAGTGCTATAAATCCCCCCCGAGAATTTTCTTCTCCAGGCTGAACAAACCCAATTCTCTCAGCCTGTCTTCATAGGAATATTTTTATACCATTGACAGAGTTCAATAACACTGATAACTGTTTCTAATGATATGGAAATTATCACCCCTTTTTACATATGTCAGTGGCAAACCTGTTAATTTTTATCTCCTACTTTCCAATCCTAGGTCCTGTTCTAAAGCCCAGCACATGGGTCAGTGCAGTTCAGAGTGTTTAAGCCAACAGCTCCTGAGAAAAGTGCCTGCCAGAAAGGACAGAACGACTGGACGAAAAATACCCCTCACACTAACTCCATGTAACTGGTTGGTAGTGATGGTCCCCTTGTGCTGCCTCTGCTGTTTGAGGTTCTGCTTTGGAGATGGTGAAAACAGGCTTCACCCTTTCTTTCTGCAGTGAGCCAGAGTACAGGTACCAGTGGCATCCTTCGTATGAATGAGTATCTACAAGAAAGGCCTGGAATCTCAGCAGAGCTGCTGAGCGGGTTCAGAGGTAACTACTGCCCTCCCTGAGACAGGGACATTGTTCTGTAGCAGCATAACAACACTCTAGACATGATAAGAAAGTACAGAGCTAGATTGTCCCAAGGCAAGGATCTAATACAGTCTTTGCTCACACACTACCAATGACAAAACATTAAATCCTAGGACATAACACACCTGTGAAGCTACAGGACAGTGTTATAAAGAATACAGCTGTCGGATTAGTTCTGTTTATATAACATATTTGCAAAAAAAGTTCCATTTCTGACCCATTAACACTCAATTAGCAGACAAGACATTTGGAGAAAGCAGTCCTGCTGAAAATTCATATCTACCTTTTCACTTTGGAAGGAAACCTTTTAAAAGATTACTGAAAACCAGTTTTTTTCATGAAGACTATGTATGGTTCAAGGACAAAAGTTGAAGAGGACAGCTCAAGGACGTGTGAATAATTTAACATTACAGTCAGGAAAACCTATTACATAGCTGAGACCACTCAGCACCTGTGAGCATTATCAGTGACACACTAATCTAGTCCACAGTTACCTTATTGGAGCAGTTGTGTTCTCCAGTTTCCACCATGACTTAGGAGGGTTCAGGTATCGGCACCACAGCTCCCAGTCAAACCCCTGTGCTGAGAGGGGATACTCCTCTATTTCAAAATTATCATATTTAATGTTATCAAATGAAGGAGAAATTACTCTTTTTCTGTTTTCTTTTATCCTAGTGAGCACTGGTTCAGCCCTAGGGGAAAAAAAAAAAAAGGTGTTAAGATTAAATCAGAAATGAATAACACTGATGGAAATCATAGAATACTTTGGGTTGGAAGGTGCCTTTAAAGATCACCTAGTCCCCCCACCACAGCAGCTTATGCTGTATAGTTCAGAAGGGGCAAAGTCCAAAGATGTTACCCATTTAGAGCTCCCTTTGCTTTGAGATGGAGTTTTGACAGAGCAGGATCTGGCCCAAGATAACACTGCAATATCTTCTCTAGGATGCCCTGTTGTTAACCTTGATGTGAGCTGGTGGATGGAAGAAATGAGTATCTGCATATCATAGAGCATTTATACCCTCACTACCAAATAATGATAACTTCAGGCTCTCAATATTATCAAGGACATCAAGATCAGAGTTAATAATAGATCTATCCTAAGGACAGAAGCTCCTGCCTTCTTACCATCATTTTTACTTAAGGAGCAATGGAGATATTAAATCCAGACTGAGCAAATATAAAATAAATTATTTTAGTTATGTCTACTTTTACAGAGTGGCAACCTCCGAGCCAAAATAATAGTTTGTTTACACTGCAGAACATAAAGGAATTGTAATATTTTTAATGAAAAGAAGATAAATTTGCCCTCATGGGCAATGGGCTATGTTATTGGGGGAGATTTTTAACGTGCAGCTTTCCCATATCATTTTAATACACTGACACTAGATGAGCAGATAACTCAAACCATAAAAATGGGTTTAGATCATGTTACACAGCACAAACACATTTTTCATGCTTGTGTCCATGGCTGTGTCTGAATCTCCTTTGAGAAGATCAGAATGCTAACTCACCCTCTATATGCAAGAGGAATGCCATTCAGGAATTTATAATCAGTGCTTGGAAAAGGTCCCTTGGTCAGAAAAATTCAAGGAGACACATACCATCCCACATTGAATTCCACATGGGCATCAAAGAGAGCGACTACTGGTGCTGTGGCAACTCTCCATCCACTCACTCGAGACCGGATCAGCCCCTCTTGCTTGGTGTGTCGGACGACCTTGATGAAGCCAGGCTTGTGGGCATTCACTTCATCAACATACTTCTGCAGCTTCTCCTTGAGTTCTTCTGTAGAAAGGAAAGAATTGGGTGTTAACAGAAAGTATCAGCTCAACAAGATGCAAAAATCTGTTCTTTCAGCAAAATGGGAGTGGTCTTCACACAACTACTAAGAATTCTGAAATAGTATAAAAGAGGGCAGACAGAAAGTAGAAGGACCAGAAATTGTATAGTAATAAAAAAATTTCAGATGTAACTATTTAGCCTATATGACTGACATCAGAATCTTGGCAGTGTTTAACATCAACATGCCAGAAAATAAAGTCCCATAGCTACATAAGTGCATGTTATATTACTTTAACAACAAACAAGATAACTATCTTATATTTCCAGAAAAAATTATGCCCACCTAACACCTGTGAACTTTCTCTACTAGTATTTCAAGAAAAAAAAGGAGTAAGAATAAAATTAATTATTTTTCCTCTTTTTTTCTGAACTTTGACAACTCTTTTCTGTCTCTACGAAAAAGTTCCATGACTTATGCTCTTTTCCCAGTACAACAAAGTCTAGTAAAAGAATCATTCTGAATTAAAATATAATAACTTTTAAACCAACAGCTATTATATCTCTGGTTTAAAGACCACTACCTGAGAAAACACAGTATGTGCAGCTGAAATATGCTATTCACTGTTATTATTAACTGAAAACACTCTTCACTGCTATTCTTTATTAGCATTGCTATGTTCTGTTCATGTTATGGTACCACCCAGAACTCCCTTGGTGCCATTAAGTTCCTTATATTTCGAATCTCTCCACACATCGAGGAATGTCTTTGCTGTGATGCAGAATAATGCTCCTGTGGCCACAATGCTAAACTGGGTATCATCAAATCTGCATTAAAAGCTCAGGGCTGCCTAGCCCTTTCTGTGAAATATTGAGCAAGCCACTTAACTTCTCTATAATCAATTCCCCATCTTCAAAATGGGATCACCACACTTATTTCTTCTTTTTCAGCCTATTTTGGCTTTAAGCCCTACAGAACAGCAGGGTTTTTTTCTGCATTTGGCTTAAAGCCCTGGGGCACTGAGCAGAGGGGAGGCTTGCATCAGACAAGGGATGGCATCAGAGCCCAGCAGAGGAAGGAGCAGCACCCCTCCAGTCAATGGTGTGCAGCAGGGAAATATCACTTCCGTCATGTTGGCTGGCCCAAATTGCTTCCCAACAAAATACAACCATTTTTCTTTTAAACCTAAGCAATGAGACTTTCTCTTCTGTTTATTGCACATTAGCAGTGCAATTTGCTCTTAGCTACACACCAGGGGACATCTCTGCATTGATCCCAGGTAGCTTCTCAAAGGAGCCAACCACTCTGGTACTGGTCACCTCAGACAGATCTGTACAACGTGCACACTAGAAAGGTTAATGCAACCGAAAATTAAAAGCAAGCACATGTTAAATGTTCATTCTTGGAAAGGAGGTGGACGTGTCCTCTTTAAGTTGACAAAGATTAACAGAGCTGTTTCACAAGGGGTCATCTAACCCAAGGCTGTTACAACCCATATGAACTTGGTGACCTCCTTCTCTGAGGATATGGAGGAGAGGCAAGATGGTCAAGTACAAAAACTCCTTCAATTCATCCCTTTTTGTAGAGATTCTCAGGCAGCCACCAGGTATGGTGCCTGTGCAGCTGGTTCCATAGGCATTGCAGGACTGTGCATGCCACATACCTCTGAGTAAATGAACTCTGCATGGAAGTGAGAGAATACCAAAGAAAAGTGCTGATACTTACAGGTTTTCATAAAAACAAGAATTAAAAAGAATAGTTTGCTGACCATATCCATCCCAGTACTTTAAACTGCAGTTGTATTTTAAGAATTGATTGGATATATTCCTAGAATTTTACGCACTATATTGACAATACCTATTCAATTTGTTTGTCTCTGACTGCATTGCTTGGAACAAACAACATGAGCCACTCACACACATAGCATGGAACACTATTCTACTTTGTATTAGATTTGCTGCTTATTTATCAATACACTTTTTCTCCTTTATAAAGTCAGAAAAACATATTCGTTTCTATCACACTTGCGTCAAGCCACATGTTCCTATTGTTCATTCCCTAACACACAGAGATTTGTAGCAAGCACAAAACTATCAAACCAATCACTAGCTAACAGCACATTAAATTCAAAAGAAGACATTTATGTTACTGAAATTATGCCCACCTAAAAATAGAGCAAAACAGTTCTCTATTCCCAAAATGTAACATTGTGGAGGGTGAATATCAAGACATGAAGATCAAAGCTTTTTTCTTGGTGTGAGTGGGTGTACATAGCTTTGCAATACCAGGAAGCTTTATTTGCCACAACAATGCAGCATCACCACTGAGTATAAAACATACGAAAGGAAAGTAGGTTCTAATCAAGGACTCGAAAATCAGAAGCCTTGATAGAGTCATTGTTCTCTCAATCTCTTTGTTTCAGTAAATGGGCTATTCCTGTCACATACTTTTCCTAATGTGGACTGACTTCATAAGCTTGAGCAAACACAAAATAATTTTCATAGCGAGGTGTAGTACGGAAACAGGTGAAAATGGAACAGAAACCAAATCCTGGCTTGCCACCAGCATGACTTCAGTGCATATTACAGCTGTGACCTTTACTGGGCAGTACACACTTCCAGTTTGCTGGTTACACTGCAGCTTCTTGCAAATGCATTGAATGGCCTGAGCAGATCTCAGGGGAACCTTGCATGTTTACCTGTTGCAGAATGCAGCAAGGCCTCAGTCTGGCCGCATGGAAAAGAATGTAAATAAGAGGTGAACATCCAATCATATGTGAAAGCTAGTGGTAAATATAGATATTAGAGCTAAGAAAAGAGTTAGTATGTAAGATTCTAGGAGACAGTGTGTGACTGCAGCTGACTGTTAAGGCTGTTACCAATCATAGAGTTAAGTTACAGAATATTAATTATCTCATTATGTATCCTATATAAGCTGTACTGTATAATGAATAAACGAAGCTTGCTTGACCCTCATACTGAGCGTCCCTGCTTTCCCTCGCTGTGACATTTACCCATGGTCAGTCAGTAAGGAGGAATCTTCTCCTGGACTTCAGTATCAGCCGCAGGGGGTGGAGGAAAGTGCTGCATTTTACCTAATCTTCAACCCCGGGCCCACAAGCAATGCCTTATTTTGTAATATGTCCACAGGAGACAGAGCAGTTCTTTTGCAGTCAGGTACTTTCTGGCCTTTGTTATTTAAAACAGATCAGCCTTGCTTTGCAGAGTGCTGAGCAGAGCATTATGTGCACCCTTTGTCTTACAAAACCTACTGGGCACACTCTCCCAGAAGAATAGATAAGGCTAGTAGAAAAAAATGTATCATTTTCACCCAGCCATAAGACAGAGCAGACATGTAAATGAAGCTTAAAAAGTCACTATTTTGGGAAGAACTTTAAAGATGGCCTAGCAAAATACTTGAGTCGGGTTTTTTCATGCATTCCATATTTTCCTGACTTTTGCATGAGTAATCTGAGTTCAATTGTATTTGACAGTTTTAGAGCACCCTGCCCAACTGGTCTGAATGACAGGACTCTCCCCTCAGAACTAATCGTGCACTTTGCGATGGCACTGATGGTCATCAGCAATATCATTTTAACCCATGTTCTGTTTTTTCCACTTTTCAAGATGTTGCCTGAATAATAAACAGTCTTTTTCATTAATTATTGTGCTTCACTGCTTTATGCCACCATGGGGAGAAGAAAGAGAATAAGCAAATGTGTCATCTTCAATACACTGTTGATTCAGTGTCTAATTATGGAAACAAACAAGCTTATAAAGATAGATGCATTTGCCTTTCAGCACAGAATCCCTCATATAAGGACTCAATTTGACTAAGCTGAATGAATATCTGCAATTGGAGTGAGAGAGCAGCCATATATGGAATGGGAAGATGGTGCTGATCTGGCACTCGGAACTGTTGCACTCTACCACCTGTCTCTATATGGTACAGATGTCTGGAGAGCACAGCACAACTCTCCTCATAAATGTAGGAAACATAATTAACGTGCCATAATTATGTTTAATATTAACATAATTAAGTTCAAACACTCTAAGAGGTTGTTTGTTTGCTTTTAACAAATCCTCAAAGATTTTGTTTGTCAAGTTTCCCTACTCAGCATGACAAAGCAGTGCTAAAGACTTCATGCAACTTTGCCTTCTTAGGAAGCACAGAAGGAGGGCAGGATAGAGCAAGGATTATAAAGAGTCAGAAGGCATCCCACAGCTACAGAGACTGTACATGAAGGGATCATTTAGCTGATGCAATCCCTTCACAAGCCATCTTCCTTTCAGGATATGGTCTGAGAGAAGGGTGGCTTGAGAGATGCCCTGGCAATGCAACTGCTCTCCTTGAAACACTGCAGCATCCTTGGCCTATGTGGCCAGACCCAGCTCAGAGGGGTGACCTGGACACAGCCCTGCCTCCTCTTTGAACGCTGGGGGTTTGCAGCAGGCCACATGATATGGAAAAGATTTCTCAGATATGCCCCAGGGAGGTCTTCGAGAGGGAAACCATCTGTTGGTGGTATGTAGATGAAGATCATTATCTTCTTCCAGCCTCAAACCAAAGTGCCTGAATTTTGTAAGCCTCTATTCTCCCTAAATTGAGAAGTTATCAGGCTCAATGCTCAGTGATACAAGATGCCTTACACCAGTGTCCTACAGCATTTGTGGATTTGTCCCCAGACTTCAGATTTTAAAGTTATTGATACAAACAGCATTGTCATAAATAACAAATTACTGCCTCACAGTCATAGAGGAGCTTAAAGAACAACCAAGTAAGTCTCACTTTCAGTAACTTTCATGCTTTAATGTACTCCCACTCTGGTTCTTAAATGAGTCCTCACACCTCTCAGAACAATTCCATTTACAAAGCCCCACACTCATGATTTGCTGAGACAGATGCATTTTACTGAGTTTTTAAAACTCTTTTTAGTTGTAAGTTTGCCAACAGAGCTTAAATAACAAATATATAAATAAATAAACACTCTCTCATAACACTGCAT